ACACTAAGTTAAAATTACTTGGTTGCAAATAACTTCTCTAAAGTCGCTCATCAACAAAACAACACATTAAAAACAAAAATCAACCCATGTCTGAAATTAAATGCTTAAGAAAATAAGAATCACATTAAAAGAGGAAAAAGCTTTTATTTAGAGAAGGAAACAAGAAATAAAGCAAAAAAATTGCAACAGGAACAGAAAATGAAGTCATCAGTACAGAAAACTGTTCAATATTTCAAAAGGAAATAAGCAGAAAATATAACAGGAGTAAAGAGAAGAAAGGTATCCTACAACAGAAGAGCTTGAATATAAAACATCAGATAAAGAAAACAGAATATGTGTACAGACAGAAAGAAGGATGAAGAAGAAAACTACAACCAATCTAAATGAAAAGCTACAGGAGTTTGAGAGGTAGATTGTTAGAATGAAAACAGAAAAAACCAATAAAATCCAGAGAAACAGCAGCTCAGAGGTGATATTGTTTCGAGTCTCTCTTACACACACCCACCCACACACACACACACACACTAAAAAAATTTAATTATGGAACAAAATGTTTTGTACACTTTGACCCCTCACAGTGTTTAACACCAGCTAACATCTCAGATTCTTAATATTCTTTAAATTCACAAAAACATAATAATAAAAAAAATAAATTACAGCAGAAAAATACAGCGTTTAAAACAACAGTCTGGTTTCTCTCTGAAGGCCAAGAGACGGAGACTCCATATTTTCTAAAGCTTTAAGATCTCAGAACTCGTCCTGTCTGTCCCAGAGTTCCTCTGTTCTGATTCCTCTGTTCACTCAGTACGGGGTGAAGCGGTTGTACCCTCCTCTGTACAAACTAGCCTGTTGACAGAAGAAGGGAACCAGGTGTAAGAAAGACCCATTATGTAAATCAGGAGCCATAAATGTTTGGACTCAGCTCACCATAGTCCCAACTCCATACGTGGCCGTTGGTCCAACTGAATGGTGATAGGGGTCCGCGGCTGTGGCGTAAACTCGTCCGTATCTGCTTAACATTAAAAACAAAAAGTGTGTTTTACTGTCATTTGAAGTCAACTTGGTGGTCAGATGGAGCATCAGGAGCCTGCTAATTGAGTCGGTTAATGCTAATGGTCGGGCCTTCTGAAGTTAATTACCATGTCCTTGGTTTTAGTAGCGTTCAGGGTCAGATTGTGTTTTGTGCACCAGGATGTGAGTTGCTGTATGCTTTTTTCTGTAAGCTGACCCATCATTGTTGATTTTAAGGTCTACAACAAGGGTGTTACCTGTGAACTAAGCTGGTAAGGCTAGAGCTGTCATGAGTCAGAAGGCTAGAAGGCTCAATAAACACCCTTGTGGTGCACCCATTCTTACTGTGGTTGTTTTACATTACACTGCTGACTTTAAGTGCCTCCAACCAATTTCACAAACAACCTGCACACTCCTGGAGCTTCGTATTAATGGCCACGCTAAAGTCAGGTGGGTGTGGTTTCACTAGTCAGATAGCCAAACTGATGTTTCATTTAACAGATTAGCTGTTTCACTAACTATAAAAACCATTAGTGGGCTAATAAGCGTCTGCTAAATTAAGTTTCGCCAACTTTAAGTCGACTAACTAACAAACTAATCAACAGGTTTGTTTCAGTCCCACCAGTCTTCAGCTGGAAGAAGACAAAGACATGATTGAGTGACAGTCATCTTAGCAGCTAGTGATCAGCTGTTAGTGATAATTATGGCTAATTTTACTTGTAGCTGTTTAGTGCTAGTGAAGCTAAATTGTTTATGGATTATGAGCTAGCGAAGCAAACTTTTTGGTCAGCTGTAGCTCACTGTATCCTAGCCTCATTTTTAACCAATGATAGAAAATGGACAAAAGAAGTTTTTAGTTATTGGACCCATGTTCAGTTACACTTTGCTTGTTACAATTGCTTGTTTGAGAAAAAAACAGAATTCCGTCTGTCCAAAATCTCTAATAATAATGTTGTGTTTTTTTTCTGTCAAGATTTTTGACTAAATGTCACACAAGACAACATGCAAGTTTAAGCTATATCCTTAAAACTAACTGTTTTTTATGGCAACCTTTTTACAGAATTGTTATTTTTTTGTTTCTAATGAAATAAAAAATAATGGGAAAGGCTGGAATATGTGATTCTGTAGAGCAGTTAGAACAATCTCAGTTGAATCTGTATCTTCAGTCTTTCAAAGAGTAGATAGCAGCTGTCTAAAACAGCTCAAAACAGTTCACATAACAGCAATTTTACAAGAATTTCATGTTAAAACAATCCAAAATTTCATATAAAAATAATTATTTGTATCACGTTGTTAAAACCAATGAAATAAGTTTTATTAAACAACTTCTCTTATTTATCTGCCTACCCGTCACTGTAGGCTGCTGTGGCAGCAGATGCTGACTGAGCCACTCGGTAAGCTGCAGGATAACCGCCCTGTGTGTGAAAAATAAAATTGCATCAGTGCAAGAACAAATCTTGAAACAGAAACTGTGTGAGCATCGAGTAGCTGCTTACATAGACTTCTGCTCCGTACAATCCATCCTGATAGACAACCCTGGAAAAAAGATAAGTTACTGTAACCACTCATTTAGTCAAAGCAGGTGTGTTTGAAACATCATGCATGATGGTGGCCCTCAAGGACCCGGATTGGGAACCACTGGTATTGACTCTAACATTATTGTGGCTCCACAGGTATGGACTCAGGGTCTTACCCAGGATAGGCGGGCACAGCAGTAGCAGGAGTGGCCGCTGCAGAGCGAATCGTGTTGTAGACGGCCCGTCCCCGACCCCTCAGCGCAGAACCCCGATAGGCCAAAGTGGGAGTCGCTACTGGATAAGGAAAACTGGCAACTAAACAGAAATTTTAAACAGAAAAGGGGAAACAAATTAACTCTAATCAGTATGGAAATGTTTAAAATGGATCATTTCCAAGCAGTAATTCACCTGTATAAAGTTCAGGTGCATACATGGCCCCCATTACAGGGTTGATCTTCCATCCTGAAGCTGCAAAAAAAATAAGATCAGGTATTTAGCCTCCATCTTGAAAACAGACTCCATGAACTGAGGCGATTCTGAGCTAATATGGTGAACTGAGGTGTTTCTTACTTGAAAGTTCCCCATTTACAAGCGGCGTCTGAGGCTTTTTTGTAACTACTCTGGCAGTGGCGTTATTAACCTGAGAACAAACAAGACAGCAAAATAAAAATGTTGACTGTTGGGGAAACCTACAAAAAAGTAACGAATCTCTTTTCACCTCAATCTTCCTCCCTTCCACAATTGTCCCGTTCAGCTTTTCTCTTGCTCGGTCCGCCTCAGTAGCGCTCTCAAACGTGACGAATCCAAAGCCCTGTTTGGGTGGATTTATTTTTTATTTTATTTTAAAAAGATCTTTTTGTTTCAGCTCCATCTATAATAATAAGTATTTTTTGCTGACCTTTGACCCCCGTTCATTGAAGATAATTTCTACGTCAAGGATCTTGCCAAATTGCTGCGAAGTTTCACAACAAAAGTGTTCAAATAACGTAACAATAGAGGTTTTCTGACTCAGTGTAATGAAACAGAAGGAACATCCTACCCCGAACATCTGCCGGAGGTCCGGGTCTCTGAAGCGGAAAGGGATGTTGGAGACATGGAGGCGTTTTGGTTGGGCCTTCCCTGGGCTCTCCTCCTCACCTCCACTTCCTGCTCCACCGCCCGATGACCCCGGCACGCTGAGCGACTGGGGGTCAGAGGTAACAGGAGCCAAAGCATCCTCCTTGACAGCGAGATGGTATGAAAATGAGCGAGAAGAAAAGGGACGAGACCAAAAAACGGAGGATGCAATGGAACAGAAACACAAAAACAAGATGGAGGGAGTATGAGAGACAGATGTAACAAAAAATGGAAGAAAGCATTACTAGAAAAGCACAAAAAATAAAGATCAGTTCAATTATTTCAGCAACACTTTTCAACAAACTTCAGCATGTGTAAAGATTCAGTTGTAAGCATCACATGGCATTAAGCAAAGATCATTTTCACCAGAACAAGTGATCCAAACCACGTTCAACAAGCATTCAGCAACCAGTGATCCTTCTCAGGCAAATGTAAGGGGGGGCTAAACTTTAGTGAAGTGTCTGTGGATCCATGCCTGCTGGAAAGACTGATGCTCAAAAATATAAAACATATTCAAATAAAACTATGTGCTCACTTCAACTGTGATCAAGAGTAAAAAAAAAACATTTGTGAAATTTTAACTAAGCATCTAAACAAGTGTAATTACATTAAATACAGTGTATGCATGGGAGTACACTTTTGTGTAATAAGATTTTAAAAATAATTGTGTTAAATTTGAGTGAAACATTCAGGTGTCTCTTCTGTGTTTATATGACTGAGCTTCACTTGTGATAGGTGATGTTTTTTGTATAAATCAAGATACACAGATTAACCAATAATCAATTTTAAATTGGATATATTAAAACTAGCCAAAGTCACAGCACTTTGGCTAGCTATTTTAGCTAATTTCAAATTATATAATTTAAATTTATTTATTCTACATCAATAAATTTATAAATATTTAGATATTTCCAGCTAGCGTCTAGCTAACTAGCCAAACTAATAGCTAGCTAATTTACCCACTAATTAAGTCGTTTTGTAACTAATTTTCTTGTAACTATGTTACCTTTTGTTGACCTTGTTCTTGTTTCTTTAGCTGAAACTATGAAAAATACTGGATAGCACATTTTTACCCAAAAACAATTATATTTTAGCATAAACAAGGTGTTTTGAAAGGTTACCTGGCATACAACCAACTAAAGGATATTGTACTTTAGGTTATGTGTCAGGTGTTTACTTTTTTTTTAAATTATCAAAGACATAGCTTTTCAGATAATGACTTATTTTGTCCTCAACTTGTTAACTTGACTCTTTTTTAGACACATTGCATAATATACTGTCACAGCTGATAAGATAATTTGTTTGAAAGCAAGTAAGTGTAAGTATAAGTGCAAATAAAAAGACCTGAAAGTTTGCAGAAGTGATGATTAAAACCATTTTAAATCTGGATGTTTGGGAGCAAAATATATAAATATAAGTTGTAGTTTAAAGTTAAGCACAGAATTTTTAGTACTAACGTGAACAATAAATAACGCTACACAAAAACGTCCTCACTTTTGTACACTGTGACATCTGTGTGTATAAACTGGCCCATGCAGAACCACAAGAAGACCCTATGTGCCAAAAACAAAACATTCACTGTCCCACAATGCACCACAATGCTGGTGTGTACGCATTTCTGCACATCTACTTTGTTCTGGTTAAGTAACATTGTCAACCATCCAGGATATTAAAAAGTTAAAAATACTTTTAAGAGCAAATGAACAAGAGCCTGGAAATAAAAAAAAAAATTGGAAAGAAAAATAAGGTTATTCTAAAGTAAGAACTTTAGTTTCAAGACTCGAGTATTAGCATTCTAGTACCAAGAGACAAATAAAGAGTGAAGAGGCCTCAGTGCAGCGGTGACAGATCACATTAAACCAGAGGGAACAAGGCAGAGACGGTGCGCAAGAAGCTGAAAATGAGGAGGGTGATGAGAGGAAAACAAAGGGGTCAAAACCGAAGGGTCAGTCTCAGGTCATAGTGCTGCTGCGCCTCTGCCAAAGGTTAAAGGTAAATTATCATGGGGCAAAATTAATAAGAAGGGAATAGAGAGGGGCATTCATCCAGGGGAATACACACATACAGTAAATGCGGCGCCTAGTGTACAATAAAATGTTAAAAGATGTCACAAACACATTTACATTATTTAGCTCACTTTCTGAGCATAAAATCCTAGTAAAAATTTTTTTTCAAACATTTTGTTGTTAATTAGTTTACTGTTCTTTCATTTTGCCAATTTTTGCTAAATGTTAAATTTAAATGTCTAAATGTGTAAATTTAAATGCATAAGTTAACTGTAAATGTTGTGCCTAAATATTAAAGTTTATTCAGAATGGAATGCAGCATTTTCTGCTGGTGAGCGGCTCTTAATCCTGCAATTATAGCAACCGCTAATCCTGCTAATGATGCTAACACTTCCCAACAAGACATCAAACCTGCAGCTGCGGCCAGTGTCTGAGCTGTACTTCAAACTGCCGGACCACAGCTATCATCATTGTTGTTTTCAATAAACACATTTTGATTTTAAAATTTAAATGCCATCTTTGGCAGCATTATCAGCACCATCAGTGCTTTTGTTGCAATTTAGCATTTAAATTTAATGTTTAGTAAAAATGAGCAAAATGTAAGAACAGTGAGTTTAATAAAATGTTAGTGGAAATTTTTAACTAGGATTTTACACTCAGGTAGTGAGCTATAATGAAAATGTGTTAGTGACATTTTTAACATTTTATTTTGCACTTAGTGCCTCAGACTGTGACTAACTACAGTAGACTGTCACACACACATCTACAGACACACACAGGGGGAGAGAGGTGGTGGTGTCAAGAGATCACGATGCAGACTTGTGTTCTGGACCTGAGCGATATTTCAGAGTGGGGGAAAAGGGGGGGTCATCTGGTCCCCCTCCCTCCGGGTTGAAGTCTCAACTTTCCCTTCGAAAGTCAGCTCGGACCCAACTTTGTCAGAGGCTCCAGTGATAAAATATGTAGACGGGGCCACAGAACAAAACAAAACAATTTACTGTCTGAGAAGAGGAGGAGAGATCTGCAGCAGAAGCAGGAGACAGAGTCGGTCTTATTTAAACAGAAACTAAAGTGTTAATTCAAACAATACTTCATTCTGTTTCCACTTCGAGTTTATTTCCTCAGGAGTTGTTCAATAAGCTGACACAGCTTCACTAAGAAATCATTAAATATTTACTTAAACTTGACAAAATAAGTTTGTTTTAGTGATCTAATTAAAAAAACAATTGAAATGTAAATATTTACAAATAAAATGCTGTAATCTGGAAACAGGATCTGTTTTACTATCAGCAAAATTAGACAGAAGGGAGGAAGGAAATGTTTATTTTCAACAAGTCTTGTCTCAGCTGTTCATTGACCTTTCTCTAGAAGGTGGTAATGAGGAGGAGGAGGAGGAGGAGGAGGAGGACGAGGAAGAACTCTAAATATAGAGAGAACCTGTATCTGCTCATGTTTCAGGACATCTGAACAGACTTCTGTCACATGGACCGACCGAGGATCATGTTTTATTGGGACTCTGTGTGAATTCCATCATCTCTGTTCAGGGCCGCTCCTACCGTGTTGCTGGGGGCCAGCGGGTCGGGCCCTTCGTGCTGGGGCCCCTGATAGACTCGGAGCTGAGGGTGGTCTGGGTACTCGGAGCTGTGGTGAGCGGAGCTGAAATCCAGCGCGGTCAGTCTGCCCACGGGTGTTGCCGGACCTTGACCAGGTGGTGGGTACGATGGGGGTGGGGCGTAAACCTGAGGAAGGGTGGGGTCCCCGCTGCTGGGGCCGGCCTCCTGGGCGGGGCCCCCCTGTGTGGAGAGGAGGAGAAGGAGATGAAGATTAAAATAAAAAGAACATCAAACAAGGAGATGCAGAATAAAGGAGCATTTCAACTAATTTTATATATGAAGCTGCAGCGTTCTTCTTGAAAGAAAGGTCCATATGATCCATATCCTGTTCTTTCATCTGTTCCCTCTCTCCACAGTCATCCTCCTCTATGTCCTCTCTGACTGCATCCATTTATCTCCTCTTTGTCCTTGTCCTGGCAGCTGCATCTCTAACATCCTTCTATCAATACCCACTGTCCCTCCTCTGGACATGTCCAAACTGTCTCAGTCTCTAAACTTTATCTCTCAGTGGTTCAACCTGTGCTGAACCTCTGGACTCTCTTCTTCACCTCGTTACTCCACGTTTTCCTGGACAGTCCACCTATGTTCTCAAAAGTGATCCTTGTATATTATAACATTATCAAAAGAATGTTTCATGTTAATCTAAAAGTGTCAGAGTGACAAATAAAACCTTGCATTTTGATTTCTGGTTAATTATTAATATTATTAGGTCACTTTGATCAAGGTTGGTAAATACCTACGTGCTTTGTGTTGCGATTACCACAACTTACACTCTGTAATATTTGTCACCTGCCATAGCATTTATTTCTTCTTAGGTTTTTTGTTCCTTTGTTTAGAAATCACCACAAAAGACCGTTATATCAGAAACTCCACCTCAAAAGAATTGGGGAATTATTATTTTAAATTTATTTTTGAATTAAATTTGTTGGGAGATATAGACAATAAAAAACAGGAAAAAGCCTAAGTGAAACAGAGAAACCTAATAAATGTCTGATTTTTAAAGTTATTCTCAGACTTATGTAAAATTCTGATAAAGTCCTCTTTTAAAAGCTGCCAAATCTTCTGTTTAAGCCTTTAAATATTTAAAGTTTACACTCATTTAACAACAGCTTTGTGATGTAATCAGATGTAGCTACTCTTAGCATCTGCTTAAAATTTTTAAAAATATCTACTATTTTCATATTTTAAATACACTAAATTGTTTCTGTTTGGGGGGGAAACTTAGTCAGAAATATTTTGCTCTAGATTTTTTTCACTCTTCTTTTTTTTTAACAGGTTTTAACATTCAGATTAAACTTTTTCAGGTTGCTGCAAAGGAAATTAGTTTGTCATCGTGGAAATGTTCACTTAATTGTGCTAACTTAACTGCAAATCTTTGATTCTTTAGACTCACTGAGAAAGGAAAATGTTTTAAAATGAGCTCAAACTGGAGATTGAATCACTTGGCAGAATTATTTTTCTTAGATTAAAAATAAAAAGTTCTGTGTGTTCAAACAGAACCATGTGACGTCACAGATGAGGAATCCTAAAGTTGAAACAAATAAAAGCAGTCTTACCCTCTTCCTGTGTTCGTCTGTTTCTGATGCTCTGTGCGACAAATGCTGTGTGTTTTAATGCCAGACAACCCCCAAAGACCCCCACCCGCCATACAAGCCACTCATCTACCAATCACTAACTGTTAAAGAACAGGAGAGCCACACCAGCTGTTGACATCTGTAACTGTCAATCACTTCATTAAGCCGACAGCACCAGACAAACTAATAAAAACTCAGAGTTCAGGATGAAGAATGAATCAGGGTAAACATTTCTTCTGCTCTAAAACATGAATCTGAACGTCATCTCGCTTGAGGTAAACGTTGCTTTTGGCTGATAAATCTTTTTAAACATCAAAGATCAGGAACAACTCTCAAGGAAATTTATCTTAATTTTGAAATAAATCCAGGAAAAACTGTCAATCATTGATCTTCAAACTCTGACTTAAGCTCCTATACAAATAATTTGCCTCATATAAAACTTTTTTTTTATTACAGTGCTGGTATTTAGTAAAATTTGGCAAAATATATATATTTTAATTTTTTAGTAGGATGGAAACAACATTAGTGTTTGAGAACAAGTAATGTATTTCAATTCATTCACTTTTTTAATATACTATATTTTACATATCATTACTGTAGAAATCCACAAATTAAACCCCTCTATTGTGAACCATGTTGTGAAAATGTCTTTTTTATGATAATTTTTCTGCAACTAGGTGAATTACTTATGGTGCCGAATTTAACCAGACACCACAATGGCTCCAACAAAACAGAACTTTACTTCTTCTCACTTTAACCACAAACAGCAGCTCAGATTAAATCTATCTTTTACACAGAGCACAGGGTCAGGATCAGAGATAAATAACAAACTGGTGGTTACACAATAAACAATCTGCTAATGCTCAGAATATGAGTTGGGAATGACTCTCAGCTACCACATCACATTTTAGCTCAATATCTGTCAAATCAATTGAGCTATTTCCATTTTGGTCTGCTAAGTTTGACTAGCGGTAGCAGCCAGCTCAGAAAGTGAATCAGTTGTGGATCAGGGTATAGATGTTCATCCAGTCATTATATTTGGAGACTTTCATTTAAGTCTGTTTGGTCATTTTATGAGAGATTTTACCAAAAGTCAGAGAGACAAGCTCACATGCAAAGACAAACAATTACATGATTAATCTTTTGTTTGTATTGCAGCAGCCAATAATAACAGAGAGTATGAACCATGCTAAAATCTTTGATCAGATAGTGAAATGTAAGTAAAGAGTAAAAATAAAAACAAGAGTGAAAATGTTTTGTTCTAAATAACATCCTGTTTGAGACTTTGTTGCATCACTTGCATCATTTTTTTTTCAAATAAAATTCATGTTCATGAACAAGACAGGGAATCATTGTTGTGAATTTAAATGAAAATGAATTAATTTTAGTCACTCTGCAGACCAAGAAACAGACAGATCACACCTCATTATCTCTAACATACTGGAACTGGTTCCCAGGACTCTAATAGGCAACTAATTATCTGAAGAAACAACTGACATGTGACTGCAGTGACTTCATGCAGATGTATTCATGACAGGTGAGTGAAGATAAAGCTGCCGGTTAGATTTCACTATCAGTCATTCTTTCTTTCTTCCAACAAGAGTTCCTGTAGCTCCCAGCTGCTGGGCCTGATCCAGTATCTCAGTGTCAGCAAGTGTAGAGACACAAGCTCTGTTTCTTTTCTTTTTTTTTGGATGGCCATTTGTTCACTCTCTGTCTCGTCTCCTTCCTCAGCTGTCAGCTGGAGGTCAGAGGTCGACGGCTTGGAGCCAGGTGCCTTCTGCGACAGCTGCTGCAGGATTTACTCAACAGGACAACAGGAGCTGCAGATGTGGCGTTTCACTTCTACTGGCTGCTTATTAGGGGAAACTTTTATTCCACCAATCTTTTAGTTTTTCCATGCAGCAAATTCTGTTTTTTTTTTTTTTTTTTTCGTTTTGTTTTGTTTTTTGGGTTGAGTTTAGGTTATATAAGCTCAAAAAAGAAGTGGAAATATTCAAAGAATTATCAAAATCAAGGAATGGAGATCAAAATACATCTGCTGAAACTTGAAACAAATGGGTTCAGATGTTGGAATTTTGTGATTTTACAAATGCCAAAAAAAAAAAAAAAAAAACTTCAAGATGAAGTGCCTCATTCCTCAGCTGGAACTGAACTTACAGCCACGTTCAAACAGCACCTCACTCTAGAACTTGAACTTAACATAAAAAAGTAAATAAATTTGTGTTTGGTAGATTATTTCTTTTTTGTAACAATGCTTCTTGGCAATAAAATTGAAAAGCCATTTAAAATGGTTCCACATTTGTAAGGACATGATCATTTGATGATCATGTGATGATCATCATGATCATCATGATCAATGATGATCATGATCACATTTGTGGCATGATCAGTAGAGCTGAAAAAAATAAGCCAAATCTTCTCTGTCAAACAACTTATTTTGTTGTTTTTGACTCTTGTTTTGAGCTTCTGGTACCACCACCTGCTGCCAATCAGGTGCCCGCTATAAGATTTATTGTCAAGAAGCATTGTTACAACAAAGAAATAATCTACCGAAAATAAATTTCTTTATTTTTTTCCTCAGAGTAAACCCTTGACGTGCAGGACAGATGTTAAATGTAGGCTTGACGTGTCAATGTTTAAACGCACAACAGCAGAGTTTTACAGCTGACTGGAGTCCAAGACATATATGTGACAGAACCTCTTGATTATCAGGTCAGGAGAAGAGGACTAAAAATACCTCCGGTGTGAAGCATAGTGACAAGGTGGAGAGATGCCAGATGCCTTTTGGAATCAGTGGTATGTCAGGGACACTTGGTGCTGGTCTCATTCAGACCACTGGACTAAAGATAACATGTAATGTGTCCTTACTGTTCAGGGTTTTTTTTATTATTATTTTTTACAAAGCTGTGATTGGGCGTCAATGATTATTTCTCTAATGAATCACTAAAGTAATTTAGACTAATCCAGGAGAAAAATGTTCATTTTTTTCATGTGTTTTATTTATTACATAACTGAAAAATCAAATCTTTTTTTACATTATTTAAAAAATATAAACTTAAAAAACGATCCTCTTGTTTTAATAAAACTAAATAATTGATTCATTCTGACATTTTATTGGACAAATCATACAAATTTATCCGTAGATAAAAAGGATTGTGTCTTGCAACTTTAAAGTCCTTCTTGCGTTTTTCTGGCCTATTAATCTGAGGACACTCTACCTGTTTATTGTGCCTCTAATGACTCGTGACAAACATTCATGTGACGTTGCAGAACAAACAAAAGAGTTTACCTGAACTATGCTGGGGTAGCATGTGGTTGTCTGTGGGTAGACAGAAAGTCCATAAGGCTGGAGGATCACAGTGGGTGAGGAGAGCATGACCCCAAAACAAACCACACGCAAGAAAAACAGGGAACGAAGGAAGATAGGAGGGGAGAAGGAGAGAGGACAGCAGGGGGAAAAGGAAAACCGTGTATGCACACAGGAGAGCAGGAAACCAGGCTGAAAAAAATCCAGATAGAAGAAAAAAAAATCCTGAAGATGAAGGGAAAGAGGGATAAAATCGTGTTTCACCACACAGGTGAGCCAAAAACTCGATGAAAATCCTCAAAAGAACAAATTTTCTGTCCGGAAAGGACAGGGTATAAAGCAGTGAAAGAGAAAACAAGTGAGCTTCTGTGTGTCCATCAGTGGATCATGCAGGATGACAGACAGAAACACATGTTCAGGCTCTCCTTTCAGAGTTTTATAAATAGTAATCCATGTCCTCCTGCTGGAGTTGATCATCTTACTTCCCTCTCACTATCACACACAGCTTCTTGTAAGATTTCTCACCACTTGTGAAACAATTGAAAAGTAACACTGCAATAAGAAAAAAAACATTTTAAAGGGTCTACAGATGTGAAACGTGATTAGATCACTCATGAAGCGTAAATATAATTGCCACAAAATAAACGGAAACAAAATGTATGAGTTGTCAAAAATGTCTTTGAGCTATTTTTTTCTTTTTCACCAACAGAGCGCGACATCCAAACAAGTTCTTTTCCGGTCCGGCGCCGAGAGGCATGACGGGATATGTAGTGTTACTTAAGCTATATAAAACCACGCTACCGCTTTTCGACTTCCTCTTTACTACGCGAGCCTGAGCGAAGCAGGTATGAGCTTCCTCTTTTCGTCTTATAACAACAAACATTAACTGCATTTGAAATTATATATAAGCAAGCTTTGGAAAGAGATGAAATGAAGACCAAACGAGTGTTTTGAATTACCCACATTTAGTTACGCGTTTGATTTTTAAGTAAAGAATGTCAGACTAAGCTAATGCTAATGCTGTTAAACAACGTGGTGCGCTACGGCTCAAGGCCTACCCGTGTGGTTGAATTGACGTTATAACAGGTTTTTATTGGGTCATTTTTTTCTCTCCATTTCAGTAATTTTGTAACAGTTTTTGTGAAACTACACATGCTTTTACTGATCAAGAAATGTTATCTCCTAAAAGACGACCTGAAAACGCAGTGTTTTATCATAATACTAATTTTAATATTTGGATTAAAAACTTGGATTAACACCCTTCTGTAAAGGTATTGATCTTAAGTTTATTTCTATTTTATTCGATCGTACATTTGGATGAAAATTTCAACAAAACATAAGTTTATTATTGTCCATGATTTTATTGTTTGATGCTGTGAATGGGCTGCACTAGGGTAAAAAATGCATTTAAAACTTTGGTACCTGAAAGTAAAACTAACTTGGATGAATTAGATTTCTTTTGTCAATGTAAGTTTTAGTTGTCCTATAAAGCAGTAGTTCCCAATTTATTCAGGTTTTGACTCTCAAAATCACAGCATCAGAGGCTTGTGACCCCCAGCTGCTGCTGGTTGTAAAATTTAATTAACCAGAAGTATAATACAACTAATACTCAAACAGACTTGCCATCATTTATACTAGCTAAAAAATGCTGCTGCCGCCAATCATTTTTAGGTATTATTTGATCAAAAGAAGTCATTTTACAATCCCTCACTTGTTTTGCAACCACACTGAGGTTCACTGCTATAGTGCACCTGAGGTATGCCATGTATATAAGCAGCATTGACAAAAGGTTTTGTGAAGAAAATTTCACATCTTGATCTGCGCTGATCAATAACAAAGGCTAAACTGTACTTAAAATGACATTTCTGTCTCCACATTACAGGCACTGTAAGCCACCATGCCCGTTGCCAAAAGTTGGGTTTGTCGTAAGACTTATGTCACTCCCCGCCGTCCCTTCGAGAAGTCTCGTCTCGACCAGGAGTTGAAACTCATCGGTATGCTGCTAGCACTTTCACTACAGCAAAGTCTGGTTTGAGTCATGCTCTTAGCCTCTTTCTTTAAACTGCTCTAAATGTTGACTGTTCTTCATCTCAAGGCGAGTATGGACTGAGGAACAAGCGTGAGGTGTGGAGGGTCAAGTTTACTCTGGCCAAGATCCGTAAAGCTGCCAGAGAGCTGCTCACCCTGGATGAGAAGGAACCCAAGCGTCTGTTTGAAGGTAGGCTAAACAAATGAAAGAAATATAATATATATTGGCCAATGATTTAAATCTAAACTGTCAGACTTCACTGTGGTGTCAAGAATTCCTCGTCAATGAGGCCATTTGACCAAATAATGTTATGTGCTGCATGTGACACAGTTTTGTTTAAAATTTTGGTGGTTTTTGTTTTTCCAGGTAATGCCTTGCTCAGACGTTTGGTGAGAATCGGTGTGCTGGATGAGGGTAAGATGAAGCTCGATTACATCCTGGGTCTGAAAGTTGAGGATTTCTTGGAGAGGAGGCTCCAAACACAGGTGTTCAAGCTTGGACTCGCCAAGAGTATTCACCACGCCCGTGTTCTTATCCGCCAGAGACACATCCGGTAAGTTACTAAACATCAAATAATGAAGGGTCCATAAGTCTGAAAAGGGACTCATGACAAACTGTCCCTGCTTCCTCTTCCATCAGAGGACCACCAACCTGTAGCTCTCTTCGTTGAGATCAATTAAACTATTCAGCAAGGTCACTTCGGTATCAAAACCGTATACCTTGTCAGTAAGCATTGCCCAGAGCCAATCCCGCTGATGAGGCCTCAGACTGTGCCATTAATGTGGCTGGCAGGTAAGGCGTGGGGGATTGCACCTCGGGCAATTGGTAGCATTCACTGCTATGTGAACATGTACAATCAGGCTGATGATTTAAATAAATGGGTCAGAACTTCTGTGGTGTCAAGAATTCCTCGTGAATGAAGCCTGCTATGGATAATTTCACCTTAGCTATTTTATTTTATCTTCAGTGTTGTGTAAAATTAAAAGAAGTTTTAAATGTACTCTGAAAATATTTTACTTCCTGTGTTGGCAGTGTGCGCAAACAGGTGGTGAACATCCCTTCCTTTGTGGTTCGCCTGGACAGCCAGAAGCACATCGACTTCTCTCTGAGGTCTCCTTATGGTGGTGGACGCCCCGGCCGCGTCAAGAGAAAGAACGCCAAGAAGGGTCAGGGCGGAGCTGGAGGAGCTGACGACGAGGAGGAGGATTAAGAAGGATGCCGTCTGGGGAGTCCACATTGATTCCTCTTGTCCAAACTCAATAAAAATAAGGTCTGACCAAATAAATGAAGTGCCTTTTGATTTTTTTTCCTTAAAAGTTTCTCTGTGCTGTTTTGTACAGCACAGTGGTTCTTGGCACCACCTAAGAACATACTTGGATTTGCAAGTACCACTTTTTGCCACAGACAAAAACAAGTAACGTGTATTTGTGTCTGGCAAGAAATAAACTTGCCAAACTTGTAATCCTGTTTGAGAACTTATTCTGTCTTATTACAGGTAAACTACAACTAATGTTGTTGCTAATCTATATAAACATTTCAATTTTGGATTAAAAAGAAGTTTGCAGATTTTGGGTCTGGTTTATTGCTTTCTGTAGTAAACGAAAGTCTTAACTGTTTCACTATACTATACTACTATACTATCTTGACCTCATTGGGAAATCCTTATATAAAATATATAATAAAAAATTATCTTCCATGGGCAGTTTAATCTCAAGTCATACACCTTTGTTTGCATTTCTCATCGCTAAAATTTCACAGTCCTCAGCATTGGTTTGTGGTCTCAGAAAGTTATATAAATGTTATCAAAATACATAAGGAGAGGTTGCTTTTCTCCGAAATGACAAGACGTAGAATTTTGAATGATAAACTTAAGGTTTTGTTTAAAAAAAAACGCATGTCGAATAGTTTATTCTGAAAGACTAGTATCTACACTGAGGTGAAAAATGTATACGGGTTTATAAATATTTAAAGTCAAGACCGCTGTAGCTGAAGAATGGTACAGCCTCTGTCTCCGGCTACTGACGTCATCAGAAGTGGGCGTCATTTGTCAACCAGGAAGTGAAAATTTCCCACCGGCGAGGTGTGGATGAGACGCTGCAGAGACCTTTCCTTCAACAAAGTAACAGTGTTAGTTGAACTGGACAAGCACGATTTTAAAACTGGAGATTAACACTACAAGTAAGTAAAAAAAAAAACGCATATCTAGCGGTTCGTTGCAGTGCATTTTTAGCTTTCTAAAGGCTTTGTTTTAGCTGATAAAATGTGGCCTTCAAGTGTCATGTTTTGTTTTGTGTCAACAGATTTTTAAAAAGCAGCTATATTTAGTTTTACCCTGTTGCTTTTTTAGCCAACGTTACTGTTGGAAGTAGCTTGCTGTATTTTATTTTTTTCTAGTAAAAACTTGACTTTTTAAGCGAATGCGTTAACTCCCAATCTACTGTGAGAAAGAAACGACTCAGCTTTATAACAAGAAATGGCCTAAATAAGGAACGCTTTTACTTCACCGGAGGTGATGTGTTGTGAAATGAATGAGTCTTTAGCTGAGTTATTGAGGAAGTACTGAGGTTCATGTAAACCAGCTTGCCTGAACACGTCCTGGGACTGCGGTCAAGTGTCCTGGGTGCAGGTGAAAGTCCCAGAAATGTAGATCTGTCACTTATACCTTAATATAATACTCTAGCACAGTGGTTCCCAAACTTTGTATCTTCTGACCCACAAACTATCCATGGCAAAAACTTGTGACCCCAAATATTACTGGTCTGAGTACACTAACTTCGTTAATAACCCTAAAAACTCAGGCTTTTTGACAATCTAAACAGCTTGTACACAAATATAAATACTTTTTTTTTTTTACTTATTTTATGTTTTTGTAATAATTATAGGGAAAATATTACATCAGCAATTATTTTATTACCCTTTAAATTGATTTCTGGAGATTATCCAAGGTGCTTCATGACCCATRATTGGGTCCCAAGCCCAACKTTGGGAACCAAAGTGCAGTGGTTCCCAAACTTTTCAGCTTTTGACCCACAAAATAACAGTAGAGACCTGAGCCCACAACTATTTTTGGATGATAAACATTTGTATCAGGTCAACTAAACATGGGCATAGTAAAACTATTTTTTATACTACATTTATACATTTTAAATACACTAACCTCACTCCTTTATAAAAACTAAGGCAAAAATGTTACTAATTCAGAAAATCTTTTCAGGACCCCACCTTGATGTTTCGGGACCCCACTTTGGGTCCCGACCCCAACTTTGGGAAACACTGCTCTAGCATCCCACATTGCTTTTATGGTTTTGCTTTAAAGAGGAATTTTATGATGAACTAAGTGGCCTTAAGCTATATATTTTTAGGTTTGCTTAAAGTCTTTAACATTTTTATTGAACATTTGAGGCTTCCACTTTTGTACATAAGCATTTTCAAATGAATTATTATTTAACTACTGAGTCTTGAATAAATCAAGCATCAATGGAGCACTTATAAGTTCAGGTAAATAAACCTGTATGCTGATATTAGCAACTCAATGTAGGGTCAATGACAGGCAAAGCTAGATTGCTGACTGACATGAGGCAGAGAACGAAGGTAGATTTATTTATTTACAGCAAAATTCAGAGGCAGGGTTTAAGCTGTTTTACTGTGATGGAGTAGGGGCGGTCCTGAAGGAGGAGTTTGCAAGGAATGAAGCAAGAGTGTCAGGGTGATGTGTGTGAAGGTCTGATGCTCCACAGATTGGATGAGAGGTAGAGGAGAAGGAGAAACTCTGAAAGGATCTATATGAAATGATAAGTTACCTCAGGGAGGAGAGAATAGTGTTCAGAGAAGACCTGAAAAGACACGTGGTGAAGAAAACAGATAAGATGTGTACATAATGAGCATTTTTGGTGTCATGGAATGGAACCAGGAAGGACAGGTTTGAATTTTGGCGTCTTCTTAACTACAACCTAAATGTTTGGGGGAAAATGGAACAAGATGACGTGAATAAACTTTAAAAGGAAAAAGTACCAGGCATGAACATTAACTTTATATTATGTAAAATCAATTTAACCTAAAACCAATTGAGATGAACCCTTTCTAATGCATTCTGAAAACAAACTCCTTTAAATATCAAACTTCAAATCATCATTATTAAAATAATATTCATGCTTAACTGCTTGTTTCTCTTCTGTCTACTTTTCTTTATATTTTTAGTTTCCCTTATGAGTAAATGTAAATTCTGTTTCCTTTCAGCAGAGCGATGTCTCCTGATGAGCTGGTGTATTTGGGAGTTCTTGTTGCCTCCATCCCTGTTGGGTTTCTCTTTCGTTATCTCAGTGAGTATTTTTACACAACTTTGATCACAAAGCATTGATATGCATGAATTTCAAAGCTCGCTGGATTATTTTCTGCTGACCAATGCCAAGACGATATCAACTTAGTAACTGTTACAAGTCCCAGATTGATTTGTCTGTCCCTTCAGGTCCAGCTGGGAAGCAGGGAGCAGCTCTCCTCTTGGGTCTTTTAATCACCGTCGGCTTATGTCACGTGCACGCGCTGCACTCTCTGGTGACTGTGATCGGAACATGGATCATCATCAAGAGCAGCTGGAGGTAAGCGATCAGCATTCGTGCTTCTTAAAAATCACTTCAGTATTGGCACAAAGGTCATAATAAGTTTTCTGTCTTAGGTGAAGGGGAATGATGTTACTTAAATCTGAGCTTTCCAAAACCTAAATAATTCTCACATCTAAAGCCCTATTAGCACGGGATAAGAATTATCATGGGGACCTCATGTAATAAATAAATTACTCCCAGACGTCTGTGTTTTATGTGGCGCATTTGCATGGGATAACCGAAGCCTGAGATTTTTCCTGAAATTTACAGACATCTCCCAAATGTGATATTGAAGCCTGGTTAGTTGTAGTCTAGTTAAACACTGCGTTGAATGGACGTTAAAAAAAACAATAAACGTTAAAAAAACAATAAACATCAAATAATCATCTTCCAACCTGTTCTGTTAGAAATAAGACTAGAAATAAGTTATCCACTTTTTCCGCTCTCCTTTCCTCCTGCTTTACAGCAGGCGCCACATCCGACAGACACCCACCCCACCCCCACGCGCGGGTACGAGTGGTATGGATTTTTTGGAAAAAATAATCAATTTTTGAGGCTCATTATACAGGTAAATGTCCAAAGGGGTTGACATGTATGAACACCTTCACAGCTGGCGAGAGTGTGCGTTAACGGCACAAGTACCCAAAGCGCGAGCCTGCGCTGCGCTACGACCACAGCTCAACACTCAGCATCAGCCAGAAAAAAAAACAGAAAAATTTATTATTCTTACCGTACAGTGAGCCATCATTTGCATCTGATTTTGCTCCCTCTCTTCAGCCTTTTTTTCTTTTTTTGTCGCACGTAATGTATCGGATTTTTCCGGCCCGGAACCCAAAAGGTTTTCGGTGCACTCCAATCCAGCCTCCATTCTTCACCAAAAGTAAATAAAAATGCACCAAGGGAACCAAAGCCGCCAAATTACAAATGGGATTCAGCCCAGTCCTGTCCAAATCACAGAGATGCCTATTTGCATTGGATTAACATTATCACAGGACCAGCGAAATATAGTATATAATTTGCGGGGGAATTTTTACTTTACAAATTATTGACATGGCCAATTCGTATGGGATTAACAACACAGACAATCTCTGTAATTATTACAGATAGCATGGTAAAACTAATCCCATCAGAATAGGGCTTAATACTGATAAACAAACACTTATGTTAAAAATTAGTGTTTTCTCCAGTTTATATATTGATGTGTTTCAGGCAACACACTGAACCCCAAATAACGGTGTTCATAAGTGGCCATTAAAACTAGAAACATGCAGTTTATTTTAAATGGTAGCCATAATTTATTAAACAGTAACTCTCTGCTCTGTTCTCCATCGTACAGACGTGCTCCAGCTCTGAGTCTCAGCTGGACCTTTCTCTACCTCCTCTTTTTCCGTTTGGTCACTTGGTTTAACCTGCCGCCACCGACGCCTTTCGCCAACGCCGTCCAGCTCATTCTAACACTTAAGGTATTAAAGAATGTAGTGGAACATTAAAAACATTTGCAGCAGGTAGATCAGTTTCTATGTGTTCAAAATGAATATTCTCTTTATGTTGGACTCATTTCTGTGTGTTATTTGTGCTCATGTTTGTTTCTAACTCAGATGGTGAGTCTTGCCAACGAGGTGCACAGCTTCTATGTGAACAATATGTCAAAGAATCCCACCCTTGGTGCTCTGACCCGAGAGCCCTCCCTCTACGACATTATGTCCTATAGTTACTGTTACGTTGGTATAATGACAGGTAAGGCTGTGGAAACGAATAATGTTTGTTTTAACTTCACAGAAAGTGTTATATTTTGTGTGTTAACTCTTAATAATTTTGTTTATGTTGCAATCAATGTCAATTTTTCTTTTGCATAATTTTTAACTGATGTCTCTCTTTGCCTTACTTACTGCCACTTGTCCAACATTGTGAGTCCATATTATTTCAGTATTACTCTTTTTCTTTTCTCACACCCTTTCCCTCTTTTATTTTTTGTTTGTTTTCATACCACACTGTTCCTCACTCTTTTTGTACATTGCATTATCCCAATCGTCCATTTGTTCACCCCTTTCTTCTCACTGTTGAATTTTCTCCTCTTATCCCATCATTCTATCCTTGTCAAGGTCCATTTTTTTGCTTCAAAACGTACTCTGATTGGCTGAGCCAGCCCAAACCGCTGTCTCTGCCTGGCTGGGAGCCGTGTCTGCAGCGTCTGAAGCTGGTCCCCGCGTACGGCGCTCTGTTCCTGGTCGTTAACGCCTACTTTCCTCTGCCCTACGTCCGCACAGACGAGTTCCTGGATCAGAACTTTTTCTACAGGTAATTATTCTGCCAACATCCGGGTTAGCAAGCGCAGTTTACACACAAACACACTGAAAAGCAGATAAATTTATAATACAAAGACTTTTGTCAAGCTAAATTACTGTAAGGATTATTTACATTTTCCTTTTGAATAACCAAGAGAATGCTGAAGTTTCTGGAAAAACCATTGTGAGAACAGTAAGAGAAATATAAACTGGATTTTTTTAAAAAGATTTTCTCAAAAGTCAGGAGTTTGTTGTTTGTAAAATGGAGATAAATAATGAAGTTTGTTTGCCTATGTCAACAGGTTTTTCTATATGGTCGCAGTATTCTTTGTGTTTCGGATGCGTTTCTACGCAGCGTGGTGTGGAGCTGAGGCGGGCTGCATCAGTGCAGGTTTGGGCTGCTATCCAGAAAAAGCTCTTTCTAAACCTGGAGGAGGACCCACCGTTGACTACAGGTCATTATGACTGGACAGTGTTCATTGCACACGGTGTTGCACTATTGCAGAAAAACACTTCTAGTGTGCTTTTATAGTTGAGATGTTACATAATCTCTTTTTGTTCCCTTTTGGACAGAGCTGATCCATCTGCTGAAGAAAAATACGACTTCAAAAGCATCCAGAACATTGATTGTTACAACACTGATTTCTGTGTGAAGGTTCGACATGGGATGCGGTACTGGAACATGACGGTGCAGTGGTGGCTGCATCACTACATCTATGCCAACGCCCCCTTCAAGTCCTACACACTCAGGTGTGTTAAACAGACTTGGCTAATTTTAACAGTACACTATCGGTCTAAAGTTTGGAGTCACCCAAAAAAACATCATGTTTTTCCAAGAAAGCTCACACTTTTAATCAAATTAGTTTCAAAATGAACAGAAAATATAATCAAAACATTGACAAGGTTAGGAATAATGATTTTGTCCTTCAAACTTTGCTTTCATCAAATAATCCTCCACTTGCAGCAATTACAGCCTTGCAGACTTTTGACTTTCTAGCTGTCAGTTTGTTGAGGAAATCAGAGGAAATTTCTCCCCAGGCTTCATATAGCGCAGTCACCTCTTTACTATTGACATTGAGACTGGTGTTTTGCGGGCACGATTTAATGAAGCTGCCAGCCGAGGACCTGTGAAGTGTCTGTTTCTCAAGCTATAAACTCTGATGTGCTTATCCTCTTGCTCATTTGTGCACCGGAGCCTCCCACTTCTTTCTCCTCCTGGTCTGGTTAGAGCCAGTTTGTGCTGTTCTTCGAAGAGAGTAGTACACGACTTTGTATGAGATCTTCAGTTTCTTGGCAATTTCTCTCATGGAATTGCCTTCATTTCTTAGAACAAGAATAGACTCATGAGTTTCAGTAAAAAGTTTTTTTTTCTGGACATTTTGAGACTATAATGCTGATGTTCCAGATACTCAGCTTCCTACAAGAAGACTAATTGTAATCAGTCCATGTTTCAGCTGTCTAACATAATTGCACAAGACTATTCAAATGACCAGTCAGCCTTTCAATATGATAAACTTGGACTGGCTAACAGAACATGCCACTGGAACATAGAAGTGATGGATGCTGAAAATGGGCCTGAGTAGATCTGTAGATATTCCATTAAAAGACACACATTTCCAGCTACATTTACTTCATTAGCATTGCCTAGACTGCTTTTATAATTAATTTAATGTTATTTTTATTGAAGAAAATTGTGCTTTTAAAAAAAGAAACAATATGGACATTTCTAAATGACTCCAAACTTTTGAGTATTAGTATACCTCTATGTTGCCATGACGCCTTAAAGGTTGAATCTCTGCTTCAGTTCCAAATTTATTGCCAAAATTTGTTGGCTAAATCTGCTGCCAGACCCTAAGTTTTAAATAAATCCACCAAACAACTTTAGCCATTTTCTGTCTGTCTGTTGCTCTCAGGGCTGGCTGGACCATGTTGATCAGCGCCTACTGGCACGGATTACATGCTGGCTACTACCTCTCCTTCATGACCATCCCTCTGTGCATCGCTGCAGAATCTGCCATGGAGGCTTCAGTCAGAAGTAAGCTCGGCCCTTACGGGCAGAACATTTTCGACTGGATCCACTGGTTCCTGAAAATGAGGGCCTACGACTACATGTGCATGGGCTTTGTGCTGCTGAAGGCCTCTGACACCATCTACTACTGGTCGTCCATCTACTTCATCATGCACATCATTGCCGTTTGCTGCATCCTTGTGGGCAGGGCTTTAAAGGGAGGGAAAAGAGAAGGGATGAGGCGGGAGAGGGAACAAAAAACCGAGGGTGAAAAACTGGAAAATATGAAAGAGAAGACCGGAGAGAAAACCGACTGAATGGAGCTCCAGAAAAAGACTCGTTGGAGTTCCTCATGTTCAACAAACAGGTCCAAGATGATTTCTCATCTGTAAAGTCTATTTTAATACAAACAAAAAGTAACTTTTAAAACCCAGTTAAAGCTGTTTCTTCTGATGTATATTAATGTGCTGTGAGTTATTGGAGAGAAACATTTGAGCTCTGCAAGTTTTGCTTTTGTTGTGGGAGTCAAAGCATTATTTTACTTTATTTTACTCAAAGAAAACGAGTCTAAATGTCAAACGCGGAGGCAGAAATGTCAGTGGGATGTTATAAAGACTGTAGCTTGATTTACAATTAACTTCTAAAGTGAAAGTATTTTAAATGGTCCCCAAAAAGTAATTAGGATTCAAACTGATTAGGACTTAAATTCAGTATTTTACAATCGCTACTAGATTGTATAATGTAGCTTTGTTAGAATGATGATCTAGTTATCATAAATATATTTAGGATAAATTCAAACAGTATTTATCTTTATAGTGAATGTTATTAAGTGTTAAAACAACACAAAAGTTCCCCTTTTTAAATTAACAATTCTGCACTTAAGCTTTTCCCAGCTATCCAGTGAAGCCAAAACATTTCTACTTTGATGTTATTTAAATTTAATTTGTTGTCTATTTTAAGTTCTTCAATCAGGAACATATCCACTGCCATTTCTGCGTCTGTTTCAAAGTGTGCCGTATGAAAACCGTAACAGTCCATTCACTGCCAAAACATCTGTACTGCCATCGTGAACCGCACCGTGTTCAGACCAAATATTTCATAAATTTAAAGTTTGTCATTTATTTAAGCTGCCTGTGTTTGTTGTGTAGTAACTGCACAGCTAGAGCTAGGTGATATTCTGAAAAATGCTCTACATTTTATTTAGGAAACATGTACGTTTTCATTTGATGACTAACGTACAGAGTTTTAATAGCTATATAATGTTTAAAAACAAAACATGTTCCAATATGATGATGTGCATTTTGCTTTTTGGTGATTAAAGAATGTATATTATTCATATTTTTGTAAATAAACAGTTTAAATATTACCAGTCTCGTAATACAGTCAGGTCATTTCACTTTGTGGCTGTTTTATTTTTATTTTTGTTTATATGAGGGTGGGTGAACGTGTTTCATCAGCTTCTATTTAGAGCTGAGATCATTTGAATTACAAATTGTCATTTTTACCTCTTGATTCAAAGTGCTTTTATTTTGAGGTGATGTTGAAAAGTGGTGAGACAAACACTGGTCCCTGGTGTCAAACACTTTATTTTTTGCCTTGTATTGTTTACTGTTTTTATGTTTTGTTTTTTCATACTGTACCAACTCATATTAGATTCAGTTTTTCTTACCAGCATTTTTGGAGCTCTTTTAGGTTTTTAAATTAAACCTCATGTTATAAATTATGAAACTTTAGCTGGGCACAGGTATTTAAATTTTCAGGACCAGCTGGTAGAGGAAAAAGAAAAAAGGATATCAGGGAAATCATTAACTATTAAACACAAACACACCTGCCTGGCAATGTCGCCGCTGTATTCTCTTTCACCTGAGAACCAATCTGTGCAGTTATTCTGAAATAAAACTTTACATTGTACACATTAAATCTTGTTTTTACTTTATTTCTATTACAGTCTACAACCATATTTAAGAAAAAAAACTTTTTTTTTACACTGGGTTTGATATTTGTAGCAGATAATGCTTTAAACTTAACTTCTTACATTTATTTGTCAGTTTTGGTCGTCTAGCTTCTGCTTCATGACGACAATGGGTTAAAAGGTACAAGGAAGTCCCTGGGTGTTCATTTATGGGATGAGTAAAGTCCATAAGAGGAGAGAACAGGGAAGTATTTCATGGAGGTAATGTTTCCTTGTATACAGAACTGCTTCGTATTTGTTTTCTCCTGAATTTGCTGAAAAGTCAGAGGAATGAGCAGCCCACTTGACAGATCAGACTCAGGTAAAGTTCAGCTATAATGATGCTGTTTATGACATTTAACTGAATTATTTATAAATAAAAAGGCTCAAATTTCACAGATGAGCCTGTGCTGGGATGATGACTCGTTAATTAAAAGGAACAATCTCGTTTTGATTGATACTCTGATTACTTGTACGTCGTTATTGAATTACAGGAAATGGTTTCTATAGTGATCAAGAGTCGCTCAGGTTACGCCGGGCTCCATCTCGAATGTCCAATCAGAACTACCCTCAGTACAACTGGCGCTCAAACCCTTCAGATGATGAGGTGGGCAACGCTGAGTCACCCCGGGAGCTCAGGACCCTCGCCCGGCCCATGGCACAGAAGAAAGCTTTGAGGTATGAAATCAGAAAACTTCCGTGTAACAATTTCATGAGTTTTAAATATAAGTTATTTGAAGTACCTAAATCAATATGTAACAATGGAACCCTGTTTTTCTTATTTTTGTACAATTTATCTATCTGTTCTTTTTAAAGATTGTAAGTTAAGACTAAAGAAATGTGAGTGACGCTAAAGTACCATCAAAATACCAGAAGAACTGTTTTAACCTCCATCTCTTTCAGGCAGGTGCAGCAAATGCGGATGCCTGTTTCCACCAGTGCCAAGTCCTGGACACACAACAAGACTAAGTCTCTGCATAAACTCAAGAGCAACTTCAGAGAGTTCCTTTACTTTTTCTCACTGTGGAGAAAATCCTTGCAGAAGATCGGAGGTTTTACACCTGATTTAAAGAAAGATTTTAAATTTATGTGGTTCACGTTGCATTTTTAACTCATCTGAGTTTTTCTGTCCTGCAGGGAACTTTGGGGGTGGTGTCGAGTCCTACTTCCTGTTCCTCAGATTCCTGGTTGTTCTCAATTTTGTTTCCTTCTTGCTGATAGCTGGATTTGTCATTGTCCCCAGCCTTGTCTTCAGATCTGCAGGGACCAGCTTAAACAGCACAGGTGACAGTTTTTTTAAAGTGGCGTGTTATCTCACTTCATATCATCTCATTTCCTGTGTTCTTATCTTTACGTTATTTAAATAAAACAGGATGCGGTTTTCTGAGTTTTAGAGTTTGATGTGATGGTGTCTAAGAACCGGTCTTTCCAGAATAACTGACCTAATTGTACACATAAATTTAGTCAGACAGTTATGGTATTTCCCACAAAAACAAAAGAATCAAACAAAAATATTAAAATATAAGATAAGACATAAACTGTAATTGTAACTGTAAATTGCCTGAAATATCCCTGTAAGTATTTTACAGTTATGTTAAAAAGGCCAAAGTTCTATGTGCCATCTTAATAATGAGACACATGTAGAGAAACTTATTGTAGTAGGTAGTAAATTCTAGGATATTAATGCTTGTTATAAATTTGTTTCCAGATGATGGGCCATGTATGAAGTATAACCCTAATCCTCAGGGCCTTGTGGTCTTCTATGAGTTCTTTCTTCACTTACTTTCAGGCCAGGTGAGAATTTATTATTACAGAAACCCAAGAAAACAACTTAAAATACAAATACCTTTGTTTATGGTTCCTGACAACAACTTTTCGTCTCTTCAGATTGTTTTTAGTGCCTAAAACTGGACTTACTGTTTGAACTGTCCCACATAAAATTATCCCCAGTTTTTCTGAGATGAGGATTTTTAAATCTCTAATTTAGTTATTTTTATGAACAGTATGAAAAGGCTTTTGGATTTTTCTTCTTTTTGCTGGAGTTGGTTTCAAACTAAGAACTAAGCCAAGTCAGAAACCTTGAAATTAAGACTTCAAAATAAAATCCAGCCATGACTATCTCATCTTATTGGTGTTATAATTCAAAGTGTTTACTGTGAAAAAGACTTATTGCATGTATTTATTTAATCGATTCAAGGCTTTTATTAGAAAACCATAACTCCAAATGTAAGACAATTCTGACACATTTAATTTGAAAGCTTAATGTTACAACTAAAACAGCTCATCTACATCTCAGATTCTGCAGTAAAATAAATAGATTTTTATTTTGAACATTTATGTGTTTCTTCCTGTGTAACTGCTATCTTGTTATTTATCTATAGGGTTTTATGGAGGATTCGTTAATGTTTTATGGCTACTACAACAACAACACAGCGATGGAGGAGGGGAGACTTTTCTACAACCTCCCTCTGGCCTACCTCTTCACGGCTGTCTTCTACTTTGCTTTTTGTCTCTGCTGCATCATCGCACAGTCAGTTCAATGATAAAACAATATATATTAAAAAAAGTTTATTTATTAACACAGACTGAAACGAACCTGCATCCTGTTCACCCTTCTCTACTTGCAGCATGGGCACTGCAGCTCGAGTTGTCGTGGCAACAGGAGGCAGCACCATGGGCAACTACAGTTTGATCGTGTTCACCGGATGGGACTACGGTTGTCTGGGAGACCAGGCTACCAAACTGAAGCAGAAGAACATCTACTACCGGCTACAGGTTGGAAACCATCCACTCAGCCTGACGTACAGAAATCTGGAAAAAGATCCATGAACTAGATATTGTTTTTATCCCAAATTATTGTAAATTTGCACCCCCCACCCAAAAAAAATATTCTCTGTTTCTGTAAGGTGGACCTGGAAGAAGAGCGCATAAAGAAACAAGCTGCTTCTCTCACGCCATGGAGAAGAGTAGCTTTATACTCCCTGCGAGTTTTAATGTTTCTTATTTCTATCGGGCTCATTGTAGCAGCCTTTTATGGCATCTTTGTAGCCACTGAGTTCAGTCAGGTACTATAAACATTCATATAAAAACTATGTTGTGCATTAGTACAGGTGTGTTCTGGGTAACGTGTCTGTCTTTGATTTTTCTACCAAACAGAAAAACAATGAGAAGACTGGGATTCTAGGTTTGTTTATTGAATATCTGCCATCTATGGTCATCACCGCTGGAAACTTCTTGGTGCCTCTACTGTGTGACCAAATCGCCTTGATAGAAAAATATTCTCCCAGCGTAACTGTGGTGGTGGCATTATTAAGGTTTGCACAGTTTTTGTCATTGATCTGTGACATTAAATGTCATACATTACCTTTATTTTTTAGTTTAAAAAATGTTTTAAAAACTTAGTTTAAAAAAACTAAGTTTAAATGTAGTAATTTTGTAAAAAGAGAAGACTTTTTACAAAATTACTACATTTAAACTTAGTCATTAAGGATATGTGCTATGAAGGGAACGACTACTAGCCCACCATTTATTTCTGGTAATGTCTGATAAGAAAAAAAAGGATAGAATTGGACAAAATCCCATGATCAGGGGTTTAAAAAGCTAGCTAACTAAGATTTAAAAATAATTGTTTGTCCATTTTTTAACAGCATTTTTTTGTTGAATATCAGTGGCAGTTCTAGGGGAAAGGCTACAGGGGCATCGGCCCCAGCTGAAATCTGATAAGTAAATAGGAATATCCAGCATGACTCAAGCTTACAGAAGTCTTCTTCTGTAAAAAATGTATATATATATATATAATTGACAAATGATGGCTGGATTTTGTCACATGCTGTGTGTTTGAGATTAGTTAATCTATGCACAGTAAAAATTTATATAAAATTGGTCAGGAGAACCAAAACCGTAGATTTGTGTGCAAGGATGTTAAATAAATACTTGGCCCCTGTGAGTATTGTGACACCTTATTCAGAAAAATCCTAGATCTGCCACTGTTGACTATACTATTTTTTAAAATTCTTAGTAATTACTCACATCTTCTTGATGTTCAGGGCGGTGGTCCTGCGTATGGTGAGTTTAGGTGTCCTCCTCTTCACGCTATGGAGTCAGATCACCTGCGATGGGAACACAGAAGCGATGGACTGTAAAATGTGCCAGTACAACGTTGACAAATACCCGGTATTTTTACTATTTTTATGCAGAACAGAATGAAACTAAAAACACAGTTTTAAGTAGTACTAATGATTCACTCAGCACGATGTTGTGTGGCGTGTAAGACACAGTCCTTCCTGCCGATGTTAGCACTAAAATGTTTTAAAGTGTCCATGGAATCAATTTTTTTGTAATTTTTGTAATAAATACAAATGCATTTTTAGAAAAATAACATGAACAGCATTGCAACAAAAATTTCACACCACAGAGATGAATGTTTGTTGAGATATTTGCATGTGAAGTAACAGGAAGTGATGTCGAAAGGGAATGTCGAGTAGACAGCATTGCTACAATGGCTGACAACACAGACTGTAGAGAAAAACCTGATGTTTCTTTAAATTATTTTGAGTCATTTTCAGAAAGAGACGAAGAAAAATCCGAGTTCAAATAATATTTTTTCAGTAAACAAAGGCCAGGTATTTTTCATTCTTAAAGAGTTCCCCTTTGATGTCACTTCCTGTTTCACTTTGGCTGAACTAACTTCAAAAGAAAATATGCCAGTTATGTGACTGAATGAGTAAAATCATGTACATTGTGCAAGTTTCTTAAATATAACGATGTTTTCTTTGACTTTTTGTATTTGAAGGACATGCACGTCACAGGCACTTTAAATGCTGTATTTTGTTTCTTCCATGATGCAGTGCTGGGAAACAAGAGTGGGACAGGAGATGTACAAACTGACGCTGTTTGACCTCCTTGTTACCATCGCTCTACTCGTGCTGGTTGAATTTCCACGCAGGTGCAAATTATTACATCTGTTTCAGAAATGATTTATCTGATGTTGGTGAATCTAACATTTTGAACACAGACTTGACGTGTGAGTGTTTGTTTTTGTGTCAGGATGGTGGTGGACAACTGGTCCAGTAAGCTGTCTCAGCTAGTGGGCCGACAGGAGTTTGTGGTCCCTTCTAACGTGCTCGGGCTGGTTTATGGTCAGACTGTGGTCTGGACAGGAGCTCTGTTTTGTCCTCTGTTGCCGCTCATCAACACCGTTAAGTTCGTCTTCCTCTTCTACTGCAAAAAGGTGAGGCTGCAGGTTTGAAAAGAGTCTAAATTTCACCCAATCGTTGGCTGGTTTGTGCTTACTTGCCCCTTTCCTCCACAGATCACGCTCTTCTATAACTGTCGGCCAGCGCTGAAGACGTTTCGCTCCACCACCTCCACCTTCTTTTTCTTGGTGGTGCTCCTGTTTGGCTGGATCTTGTCCTTGGTCGTCATGATTTATAGTCTTGCAGTGTGAGTTCTGTTCTGTACATTTATCTCCAGCAGTCAACACTGATGTTCTTTTTTACTGTTAAGGATGATTCTTTCCTCTCCAAACAGGATTCATCCTTCAATGGCCTGCGGGCCTTTCCGTTTCATTCCCACCATGTGGCAGATTGTTCCCAACTCTTTCTACAGCCTCTCTAAAGTCACTCAGGAGTTTCTCTTCTTCATTGGCTCACAAGCGTTCTCCATACCTCTTTTTGCATTATCATGGTGAGTGGAATTGTGCTTTCTCTTGGAATTTATTTTGATCAATATCACGATTGTTCTGACTGTGTAGTTCTGTAACAGCTCTGTATAAGTTCCCTGAATATTATACAATTCACTGTTCATTTATTCCTCCAACAGTGTGGTTATGTTCTACTTCATTGCTTTAGCCTCTATCTATGGCAGAAGTGTTGCAATGCTAAAGGCACAGCTAAAATTGGTAAGTGGTTATTTCTAGTCAAGTCTCAGGAGACAGGTTCAGATTGTGTGCATTATTATTATTATTGGGGCGGCTGTGACAGAGTGGTTAGGGGAGTCGTCCTGGAACCAGAAGGTCACCGGTTCAATTCCCTGTCCAGCTGTCTCAGTTGTTGTGTCCCTGGGCAAGACACTTCACCTCTGATGCCTCTGATGTGTGTCCCATCAGTGTATGAATGTGATTGGCACTGATTAGTCTCCATAGATTGGCTGTACATGTTAGTTTTGTAGGGACCAAATAGAGTGCTGTGTGAATGAGGGCACAGATTGTAGTGTGAAACTCTTTGAGTGTCCTGGATGGACAGAAAGGCGCTATAAGTACAGTCCATTTACCATTTATTCTAAGTTGTTTCCCAATATTCTCTTCAACAAACTGTGTTTTATCTCTGATTTTCAGAAAGGCCATGATAAGCAGTTTTTGGTCAAGCAGATTGAGAAGATGAAAAGCAGCAGCCTCTGATATTAACACAGGATGCATGAGAGCAAGATTGAACATTAACTACAAACATGATCATTCCCTACCAAAGACATTTGTATTAAATATATAAAATCAGTGTCAATAATCCAGGCTGTCGATAAGAATATAGCTCTATAAATTATATTAATAGGTTTTTTTTTTTATTCAGGAGCATTTGTGTGTTGTTTAGATGAACTTGTATATTTTGTTTTGGTGTTTTCCACATGCACTTCCTGACTCAACCTTCATTATTTACAAGAGATACGGTGGCTTGTGCTCCCTAGTGGCTGGATTGAGATGGTTTAGACGTTAGGTATATCGATAGAAGGATGATAGAGATGCATCTGCCATGAAAAAAATGAAAGAGGAGATTTATGGATGTAGTTAAAAGGACATGGAATCAGATGGAGGACAGAGTGAGATGGAGGATGTCCCGCTGTGGTTACACTGTAAGAGAAAAAAGCATTTTGTGGTCTAAAACATTTTTGTATGTGTAAAAGTGCAAAACACACACACACACACACACACACACACACACACACACACAC